CTGAGAAAAAAGGTTGCAATCAAAGAATAGAAAATGGATATATTTATGGTCTTGCTTGGGTTTTAGTTAATTCTCTCACTTTCTACCATGATATAATCCAAAGGTGCCATGACTGTCTGGACATAAAATCATAACATTGTTTTTGGTCTATCATTTTAATTATACAGATGAGCAAGTGGTAAGAGAATTAATGACCTTGATAAGATGCATACACATCAGAGGGTGGGAAATGAATCCTACAAAGATTCAGGATGTTGTAGGTAATTTTAGTAGGTAATTTTTTGGTTGTTTTTAGTTTCCTTGGTTTGGGATACCAGGGCATTTCCTCCCAGAGGAAAATTGTTCTACTTTGTAACTTCCTAGCTACTAAGACGGAAACAAAGTGTCTGGTACACTGATCTATTTACTAGTGACATTAAAAGTTAACAAATCTGAATAGAGCTCAGAACGAAAAGGGGCTCTGGAGCAGGTCTAGCCTGTAGGACATCCCTGCGTCTTAGGCCATGTGACCCAATTTGACTATAATGCTAGGGCGTTTAGAATGTGTGTTGAGATAGGCATCATGAGGAGTTTGTGGAAAACTTCCAGAAAGAATAACTATGTAAATCCATGAGGTTTAATAATAAGTCCGTAACAGCTGCAGCAGAGAGCCCTACACCAAAAACAAAAACAAACACTCCTGGTGTGCTAGAAATAAAGTATCTGATGGTAGAGGTGACCATGTGGCCATAACTGCCCACGGTGAGCTGTGTCCTATGAGTTCAACCAAATCAAAAGCTGAGTGGAACCATTTCAGGGTAAAATGAGGACATCTGAGATCAGGCATGAACAGGGCCTGAGGGCACAAATCAGCTGTATGCACTGGTGGCCCAGATCTCCGTGTCTTATGGTGCTGATATCTCTGCCACCGCCCACACCTAGTGATACATGGGGGGCCTCAGCTATGGGAGAAGGAAGAGGTGAGTCTGATTAATGGAAGAGCTGGCTCTGTGCATGCAGACAAGCAGAAGATGGGCTTCTGTTACTGCAGCTGGTCGTAAACCTCAGCTGCTGTTTAATATTTCCTTTGCTTACTGTCTATTTAGAGGACTTTTCCTCTAGGCTGGAAACTCTGATGAGTCCTCTGTTGCAACTGTATCCCAGTTTTATTTCTATCCAGTCTGTCTGCTCTCACTCCCTTAGGTGTTGTTCTACAAAGCATCCTTCAGAAAATCTGCAAATGAATCTCTGTTCCAGAAGTATATTTGTAAGGAATGTGGTCTAAGATACTAATATGTCCTAGGACATACACTTAGAAAAAAACCTGAGCAAGGGCAGATTTCCTTTTTTCCCCCTCAGTATGGCTATTCTCATAAAATCACATTAATTTTGCAATAGAACTCTAAAGCTTTCAGGCATGTTAGGATACCAGAATGGATAAAGCACATGGAATAATCTGAAATTTGATCAAATATATTCGTTATTGAAATGGTATGAAATTGTTCACAACTATTCAGATATTTGATCCCGTCTTTTGAAAAAGAGAATAAGATTTGGTTTCTGGGTAGTCTAATGAAGAATCCAGGGGCCAGACAGTGGCACTGCATTTATGCAACTGGACCGCCTTGAGACGGTCTCTAGTTCACATCTTGGAGCCTCTCTTTCTATGTACAGGCTGGTTGAGGCTGTGCATGGGTCTGCGTGGAGACCTTATTAAGAGTGCTTGGTCTCTCTGTCTCTGTTTCTCTGCCTCTCATGGAAGACAGAAGACATAAATAAACACACTTAAAAAGGAATTCAGTCTTATTTCATGATACAGTTTTATTTTATACAATTTTATATCAGTGATTTATATTTCGATGCCTTAATTTAATATTAGTTATCGAAATACAACCACAATCTGAATACAGTCAGAATCCCCAGTTTATTTTCTGCTGTGATTAGTCTATCATTAAAATTTTTAACTGAAAGCAAATGCATCTGTATAGCATATAAGCTTTAGCATAATCACAGTAGTGAAATTCAGACCTTTCAAACAGATGACAGGTTACACAAAAGTGTCCAACTATCTTGAAAAAATTGATTTTATTTTATTGTGAAAAGCTGTATTTTAAAAAGACCTTTTCAAATAAAGCAAGTGACATAAAGATATGGTGACCTTTATGCTGGTTAAAGTCAAATGTCTTCCACTGGGATCACTTTCTTTTCTTAATTGTTCAACATCTTGACTTCCCCTGTCTGACTGTTGAATAGATATTGCATTCCTGTCACTGAAGAACAAGGAAAAAAAGAAAAAGTACTTTGTCAAAATATTTATAAAAACTTGAATGTTGCTTAAATATTAGAGGTATAAATATGACCAATAAAAGATAATAGAAATGAAAATATTTTATAATGTTAACATTTGGGAAGATAGCTTTGATAATTAATTGCTGGTTTAGCAGCTATATATATTTCATAAATTCTGCATAATTATGATAAAAGTCATAATTAATCTCATCATACCAGGTTTACCAATAATCAAATTATTATTAATGCTTAATAATCATTATTTAAAAATTAATTTGAATATTGGTAAAAGCATGATAACTTTTGATCAAGAAGAAATTTAATTTTATAAGGTAGCATTTCAAATACAAAGCTTACCAAAATATACTTCAATAACAGCTATAGGTAAAAAGGATGAAAAACAATAATTTGACCTTGATAACAATGACCTCTTTGATATGGCACAGGGCCTATAGCGCTAGGTCTGTAGAGCAATAGCCTCCCACACTGAGGATGCATATGGCAGAGGATGCACAAGAGGATCCAATGACAGAAAAAAGTTTATTAGTGGTTTTATTCTTTCTTATTTTAAAAAATATTATTTTGCCTAAGTTTTTGATGTACTATACATAATAAAATAGTATAGTACTTTATTCACAAACACTTATATGCATTGTATTAAAAAGACAAAGATTTACTGGGATTGTTGTTGAAATTGTATTTATTTTCCAATAGACCAATACAGTAGGAAGGATTTGGAGAGCAATGATATAGCAAAGAAGATGCCACACTTGCATATTATTTAGCCTTGCAATGAAAGGTTTTATATAATAATACTGTAATGTAAATTATAATTTATT